TTGAAAATATTTCTCATCATTCTTTTGATAATTTTTTTCTTTTTTTTTCTAGTCTATACTTCTCTTGTCTTCTTTTATTTATATTAATTATTTGTTCAATTGTTCTTCTAAATAATTATTAATTTCTAAAAAATTATTCTATTTTATGATTTTGTATCAAAGGATTTAATTTGATATTCAATACATAATAATAATAAAAATAAATTATATAAAAATTGATTTATTTACAAAGATAATTTTATTCTTTTTTTATCTTATTATTATTTTATTTCTCTGAATTTTTCTTTTTACATATGATAATAAATATTAAATATATTATATATAATAATACATATATGTATTATTAATAATAATAACATACATAATAATAATAATAATTAATAATAGCATGCATATTAAATTTTTATCAATAAAAATTTTATTTCGCTTTTTCAATAAATTATTCTATAATTTTGATTTCAATTATTAACGATTCGAATGATAATTCATATTTACGTATAAATATATGATATAGATACGCATGAATCCGCATATTTTGTTTGTATGCGTATTCAGCTGACGACCTATAATTGTCTTTAGTAATTAATTAGCTTTCAAATGTGGAAGAATCGCTAATTGTTTTGAGATTATGAGATCCTTCAGAATTTTAGTAAGTATTAAACAAATACTTGAATTGAATTTAAAGAAGATTAAAAATCAAATTTAATTTTTATAATTCGAATTTAATATTTACATTTTTATATATTAGCTTCTTATCGGTTACATCGGTTTTATTTTTGCACACATTTCCATAACCAATCATTTAGATGAAAAATTAAGACAAACAAAAATTGAAATAGCCAAACTTCATATTCGAGAAGAATCAATAGGTAAAAAAAACTAATAAATAAATTAAATGTTCAAATGAAATATATTTAAAATAAATTTTTTAATAACGATCATAGTTGAAACAAAAGTATACAATGTAAAATGGAATCGATTGTGGAAAGAAGATCTCAACAAAGAACTACCTTTCATAGCAAATACATTCAATAAAATATTCTTGATAGAAGCAAATCATTTTATAACATTTTCTTTTGATGCTTCTAACAATATCTCATCGCGAGAAATAATTCCAATCTCTAATAATGGTCCCATTAAATTTGTCAGAGTATGTAAATTAATATTATTTATGATTACTTAAAATTATATATAATATTAAAATATTTCTCTTAATATATTACAGAGTATTATCTGGAAAAATGTACTTTATTTGCTAATTTGTTATATAACCGATTTCTGCATTATTTATACACAAACAAATAATTTACAATTAAGATATCGTCAAACCATTCAATACAAATGTCCTATGGATGCTAACTTTTTCGTTCGTGACAATCGGCTTTATCTCGTGGTAGCCGATAATTTCGGTCAATTTCCTGTGCCGTCTTTGTAAGCGAAATTAATAATCATATATATTTAGAATTATTTTAATTAAAAATTGCATTAAGTACATTTTTTATATATAGAATATACCATTGGAAAGAAACATATATGGATAAAATAAAGGATATAATAACTACTGCTGCAGTATCAGTCACTACATTTAAATACAAACAATCGACAATCATAGTATTCGCACAAAATAATGAAAATATTCCTGATATTGGTTCTATGGTATATGAATTTACAGAAACTAGTTTGGATAAAATACAATTCTTGAAAACTTCAAATCCGATTTCCGTTCATCATTATAGACATGCAGGCTTTAGTTTTATTTTACTAATAAATCAATATGAACCAAGTAATTTACTTTGGTGGGATGGTTCGTTCTTTTCTTATTTACCTTTTATATATTACAGATCTATGAAAATTACATTTTCAAGTTATTTTTTAGGATATGAACTGTTAAACTGGCAGCAAATCCCAGAAATAGAAATACCTGATTTAATTCATATCGTAAATATCAACGATGATAATTTTTTTTTTCGTAGTCTATGATGTAAGTGTAGAATTTAATTAACTAATTAATAATCAGTAATTATTATAGTATTTATAACAAATATTATATATATATATATATATATATATATTTTTTTTTTTAGTTAATA